AGATTAAGAAATAATATAATTAAAATATCATATATAGTGTTTAAAAAGAAATCTGCACACAGGACTTGTCAAGGGTTACAAGAGATATGACAGAATAGTAGAATGGTATTTATAATAATAAAGTTAAGTTAAAATAATAATGGAAAGTTATTTTGTACTTGGGAGTGTTATATCCTGTCACTTTCTATAGGAGAAAGTTAATAGATAATAAGAGCAAAAGAAGTAAAAAAAAAACAGTTATCTAAAACAGTCAAGAAATGGGGATATGGACATTACTGTTTGGAAACCTAGAGGTAACAATTGAGTTGTGTCTAAGAAGTGAGGAGGCTTATACCCATGTCAACTATGTTCACACATCACTTAAAACATGATAGGAATATTCACTCCAGCACTGTTTATTACAACAAAGGACTACAAGTGCCTTAAATTTTTACCAATAAGGAAATGGTTAAGTAGGTCATGTTCTATCTGTTTGATGTACAGCATCCTCCCAGGTGAGGTTGAATTCATAGAGAATGCAGAGAGTTTCTTCAAGGACACACAAGAAACCCATAATCATAAATTATCCAACAAGATTTAAACTTATCTGCCATTCATTTAACAATATTTAATAACCATAAGTGGTATACTGTCAATTCTCTCATTATTAACTTCAATTCAAAATAATTTTTAATATTACAAAGTTCTTTAAAATAGAGTTTTAACATTACAAAGCTCTTTAGAACCTGGTAACAGCCAAGCTAGGCAATAACAACCTTTTTTCTTGTTGGTCCTCAACAAAAGTTCTGCTATGGTTGAGCCAGTATCTGTATCAATTCTCAAATATTGTATGTTCAGCTCCAAACCCACAACTTTGCCTGGACTGTTCTCCAAGCCTAGAATACACTTCCTTCCAACCAGCAAATATTCATGTCCAGCACACTACCTAAAGCACTATAAGGGACATGAATAAAAATGACACTAAACAAGTAGGGAAATTCCTGAATGTTAGTCTCCATCCCATGACTTTAGGCAAAAGCCATATCACATACCAGACACTCAAAGAGCACTAAGTTAACTGACTGCTGTCATTCTTTCCTAAGGGACTAGCAATATAGTTGGGTGGTGTCCTAGTTTGTTTCTTCATTGCTGTGACAAAACACTCTGACCACTACCAACCTGGGAAGGAAAGGGTTTATTTATCTTACATCTTCCAGGTCATGGTTCATCAGGGAGCCCAAGGTAGGAACTCAGGGCAAGAACTTGGAGGCAGAAGCTGGAATACAGCCATGAAGGAACACTGCTTACTGGCTTGCTCCTCTGGCCTCTGCTCAGCCTGCTTTCTTATGTAACACAGGCCCACCTTCCCAGGGGTGGCACCACCCACAGTGGGCTGGGCCCTCCCACATCACTTAATCAAGAAGGTGCCCATGGACATGACCACAGGCCAGTACAATGAAGGCAATTCCCCAACTGAGGCTCCCTCAACCTCAGTGTGTCAAGTTGACACTAAAGCTATCCAGCACAGGTGGTTATATAAGACGCAAAGATATAAAATATTCTAATGTTCCAAAGAAGAGCAATGGCATCTAGTAGAGGTTTTAGAATCTAATGCTGAAAACAAATGCTTTTATCTCAACTGACAGATTCTCTATTTTCCTTGTCTCCAAATAGACTCTAGCCTTTCAAACATGAGACCTTGGTTTAAATTTGAGCTCCCCAACCCCATTACCTGCCTAGCAGGGTGCTGGACAGCTGCAGGTTTTCAAAAAACCCTTAGGGAATGAACCAAAAGGAAGAGTTCATGCAAAAAGCATCTATATTAAAAAAATTCGCTCTACCCTTACCTTACCAAGTTCATATGTCAGAAAGAAAAAAAAAACAATCCAGAAAAATAAGACATTTGCATGACAGCAGGATTTCTGAACCTTTAAAACTCAGCAATTCTGCCCTCTCTCCATCTACACTCACTTCTGTAATTTTATATGTAATTGATCTG